TGCCTAACATCCACTCTAGTCTTTTGAATAATGCCTAGTAAGTCCGGACAATTTATATCCTCTCAGCATCACCTTCAACACGTTCTAATATTCCTCTTCCAGAAGTGAAGTGACCAAGCTTATCTCCGACTGTTCGAAGTGTACGCTAAGGATGCCCCCTCTCGAAAATTAACTGTTGGTTCGCAAGATGTGCTGATGGCGAGTTTATTGTCAAAGATGAGAGAGGTCCGGTCGCCCCATGGAGCTCGATTTGGATTTGCTGCAGAATGAGGTGGAAGCGGACCCATTGCAAACTACACGCGATGGCGTCAGGTCTCGTAGTAAATAAATCGACTGTAGTTTCTGGACCTAAGTCAACCAACAAAGTCCCGAAGCTCGGCTGCGGGTATCCCTTGCCCTAACTCAGCGTGACAAGGATCGTTGGGTCAACATGGCACATTCTATCCTCACGTTCCGGCGCACTCCTGGCTGGAACGATTTCTTCATCGCTAGAAATGAGAAGTGGGCCCAGTACTATGTCTTCCGCCACCGAGCCCACCGGGTCGACAAATATGGAGAGGCACTCCCAAGCCTAACCTAAACGCCAAAGGTGACTGCACTTCTAATACGACAGCGCCAGATCGCACTTCGCAAAACGATGGAAATCAGAGCTGATAACTCATGGATGGACCGTTTTATCACATCCACCATACTCCCTAGATTTCGCTTCATCGGATTACCTCTTCTCCCATCTTCGACGTCATTGAGACGGCCAAGACTTCGACATAAGTAACGACATCAAGAACGCCTCCAGGTTTTCTTCGAGGGCTTGCCCGCAACCTTCTGGAGGAAGGGCATACATGACCTATCAAACGATGACAGAAAACCATCGATGCTAGTGGAGAATGTCTCAAATGATTGCCTGCGCTCGTTTGCGTTAAAATTATACGATAAGAATTCAAAGCCTGAAATGGGTCAATACTTATGTATCAACCTAATATGGGAACAACGTTAAAGCGCGAAGAATAAATGTAGCAAATTATTAGTACGACTGTGACAGAGCAAACAAGCACGTTAGGAGAAAAACTCGCATATTTAAGGCTAGCTACCAAGAAACATGAAAGCGCTTTTACAATACCATTTTTCTGATTTTGCTATTACAGAAATACTTGTCTTTACCAACTGTTTCTACATTCAGGCAAAATACACCTCTCATAATGGCAGTTTGTGGATCAAAAGGCTCTTTTATCAATATTTCGCAAATGATTGCATGTGTAGGACAACAAGCTATCTCAGGGCATCGACCTCCAGATGGCTTCGATGTGAGTTTAGGCTTTGATGGGCTGCTTCAGTCTCCATTTATCTTTTCATGAACTTCAGAAACGTTCGCTACCGCATTTTGAAAAGCTGCAGAAAACCCCTAAGGCTAAAGGCTTTGTAGAGAACAGTTTCTTTACTGGTATGACCCCGACCGAGTTCTTTTTTCACTCGATGGCTGGTCGCGAAGGTTTGGTTGATACAGCGGTTAAGACAGCGGAGACTGGATATATGCAGCGGCGTTTAGTAAAATGTCTTGAGGTCAGTATATCTATAGTGGTCGAGTTAGAGAGTATTCAGTCCAGCTTGAACTATTTTAGGATTTATGCGTAGCTTACGATGATACAGTTCGAACTTCTACCGGAGATATTATTGAGTTCACTTTTGGAGAAGATGGCTTAGGTACGATTATTGCATATGTTTTAAAAAATATATATGTGTCTATATAAGTGAAATAAATAAACTCAACATTTGAAGAGCATCTCATAGCAATTTTTTTTTGAAATCTACGTCCCATCTAGCTCAACACAGCCTAGACGGGCCAACTATTTTCCATCCCATATAGATCAGCGATGCG